TCAATGTATTTTGCAAGTTCCTTAACAGATAACCTTCAATGGATGACTACACTTCAGTCCAAAATTTCTTTTGCTGAGCGAGACAGTTGTCAAGTGTTTCCCCCATGTTATGACCTTTCTTGCCACAGAGGTTAAGTGAATCACTGCAGCTGTTAAGTGCATGCATGTATTCATGTCAGAAGCACCGAAGCACTTCCATCTTGAAAGAATTAGCCGGTGACATCACAGGATGCCCAGCTGAGGGCTCCTTTCAAATCCTTATTAATGTGCCCACTGATATGGTACCTATCTATCTACTTGCAATCACTCACTTTTGATCTGCTAAGTTGGCAGGAGCCGGAGCGAATGACGAGAGCTCGCCCTGTCACAACAGCACCCGGGTCTCAAACACAAGCTTGCTGATTGTCAACCTAGAGTCCTCATCACATGAGCCAGCCCGATCCTTGGTTATTAAGTTAGTAAAATGGTTGTAGAATGACTCTGGCTTCCCCATTGACTTTGCTTGTCACAAGGTCACAAAATGATGGTAACAATGAGCAGGGGACAATGCAACTGTCAGAAATATGAGTCAGTTGCTAGGTGTCCGAATTTTGATCACATGACCATGGGGATGCTGCAATGTTGTAAGATTGAAAAATGTTAATATTACTCTTTTCAGTGTTGTTATAACTTTGAATGGTCACTAAATGAAAGATTGCAAGTCAAGGACTACCTGTATATGTTTTACAAAGGCAACTGCTATGGCCTGTGAGGTTTAGTCAGATAACCTGTAGTAGTGGCCAAAATTGTGGAAACCTTTTGGGAAAAGAGTATTTTCTAAAACTAGCTAATAACACCACTTTTTTGGGGAGTAGTACCATAAAATTATATATCAATGGAAAGATAATTTAATCAAGAATGTAATGCAATAAACTTTTATGAAGGATTTGCTATTAGAATAGCAGTTACAGTATAAAGAAGAAAAGTGAAACACGTAGAAAAAATGAGATATACAAAAATTATCACCATGTCAGTTAATACTTCGTTGGGTAACCTTTAGCATGAATGACGGCCTTACAACGTCTTCCCATGGAGTGAACCAAGTCTTTTAGTTCTGCAGCTGTTATAATGTAAAACCAAGATTGAACGATGGCTTCTATTAACTGGGTTTTATTGCTGGGTCGCTTCTGACTAAGAAGTTTCTTTAGTCGGTTCCATAGATTTTCAATTGGGTTAAGGACTCTGGGCTATTCCCAGGCCATTCCAGCAGTGGAATGGGATTATCTTGAAACTCCAAAAAAAAAAAAAAGTAGTATTATTAGACATCAAACCTCAAAAATACACTTTTCCCAAAAAGTTTCCACAATTTTGGCCACTACTGTGACTATTGTGGGTCTCTCTCTCCCCTTCCTGTAGGATCTCTTTGCAAGATGTCAACATTTCTCCTTGTATGTAAAATCAGTCCGCTACCAACTCTTGTTTGGACTTCAAAAACAGTTTCCTAACAATCCAACAAGGGAACAGAAGGTGGGAATGTAGTCTCTGCTGGGGATGAGCAATAGCTAGATGACCATCTGTTGAAGATGCTATTGTGGATTGCTGTCCTGGTTGAGGGGGGGAGCTTGTATCAGATGGTCTCCTCGGTCTTTTCAACCAAAATGTTAGATGAGCCAATGATCTCTTTTAAGTGAAGATGGGAGGAACTGGACACCTCAATAATTCTGAATCTTGGCAACTTTTAAGATGTGCAGACTTCAACTCCCAGAATTCCCCAAGCCATCATGCCAACGTCCGCACTTTGCCAAGGTTGAGAAACATCTGCAGTAGACATCATTCAAAGAGATATCCAAACCAGTGAGTTTTGCTTCTGAAGGATGGGGTTCAGCTGATGTGACAACCCACATACGAGTATGTGGGAGTAAACCCACTGAACTTCCTAGGATTTACGCATGAACAAACAAGACAATTTGCATCTTGTTCCCAGCAACATCTTCCAGAAATTGGCTTAAATTTTGCAGCCACAGCCCGTCCGTTGCAAAATGTGCAGTCCCTGAGAATCAATGCTGCGATTCTTTTATTCGCTTCTAAATGGCCACCAGACTTTCGGTTGTTTTTGCTGCAGCAATCAAAGTTGAATCAAACTTCTCTTGGAGAGCGTCTTCCTGAGTCCTCCAGACCAGAGGGGGGTTTCAGCAGGTTCTGACCAGTTCTGGAGAACCGGTAGCAGAAATTTTGAGTAGTTCAGAGAACCAGTAGTAAAAATTCTGACTGGCCCCACCCCCATCTATTCTCTGCCTCCCAAGTCCCAGCTGATCGGGAGGAAACGGCCATTTTGCAGTAACCTTCCCCTGGAGTGGGGTGGGAATGGAGATTTTACAGTATTCTTCCCCTGCCATGCCCACCAAGCCATGCCAAACCCACCAAGCCACACTCACAGAACCGGTAGTAAAAATGTTTGAGACTCACCACTGCTCCAGACGTTTGTTGTATCCATATAATGGTCATAAACAGACTTTATGGCACTTCACGTGGGGAATCTTATGGCCTGGGTATCATCTGAAGATCCTATTAAATCACAAGTGCGGAAATGACCTTGAAAAATACTCCTTGCAAAAAAAAAAAAAAAGACCTTCACATGAGCCCTTAAAGAAAGTTTTCTGCAGCGATGAACAGAGAGCTAAGCTCAGTTGCTAGAAAAGCCAGAAATGGTTACCCCGAAAGAGAGTACAGGGAGTCCTCGATTTACAACAGTCCACTTAATGACTGTTCAAAGCTACAACGGCACTGAAAAAAAGTGACTTACGACCACTTTTCACACTTATGACCATTGCAGCATCCCCATGGGGGTCACTTGACATTTACATTCGGATACTTGATAGCTGACTCACATTTATGACGATTGCAGCATCCCCGGGGCCCCTTTTGCAAACTTTCTGACAGGCAAAGTCAATGGGGAAACCTTTAACAACCGTGTTACTCATTTAACAACTGAAACGGTTCGCTTAACAACCGTGGCAAGAAAAGTCGTAAAACGGGGCAAAACTCACTGAGCAAATTTTTTTCACTGTGCAACATAAAACGGTGGGCTCCGTTGTGGTCGTAAGTCGAGGACTACCTGCCATAGTGATCCCATCCACCCAATGCTGGGTGGATTATTCTGGCCCAACCACCGTGCAGGCCTTCTCCCCCCATGCAAGATTGGCTCCGAGGAAGTGAAAGCCTTGAAGCTTTCCCTTTCAAGCTCTCCCACCCCCTCCCTGCTTTTCCCACGCTTTTCAAGATGCCTTTCAAAGTGGAATTATGTCTATGGAGATTCTCAGTCATCCAGGTCATGATTGTCCCAAAGGTGCTTTTTTTCCAGAGGCAACTGACCAGTGGGGAAATCCAAATTTTTTTACTCCTGGTTCTGTGGGCTTGGCTTGGTGGGTGTGGCAGAAGGATAGTGCAAAATCCCCATTCCTTCCCCACTCCTGGGGGAAGGATACTGCAAAATCCCCATTCCCAACCCACTCCTGGGGGAAGGATACTGCAAAATCCCCATTCCCAACCCACTCCTGAGGGAAAGATACTGCAAAATCTCCACTCTCTCCCCACTCCTGGGGGAAGGATACTACAAAATCCCCATTCCCTCCCCACTCCTGGAGGAAGGATACTGCAACATCCCCATTCCCTCCCCACTCCTGGAGGAAGGATACTGCAAAATCTCCATTCCCACCCCACGCCTGGGGGAAAGATACTGCAAAATCCCCATTCCCACGCCACCCCTGGGGGAAGGATACTGCAAAATCCCATTCCTTCCCCACTCCTGGGACCAGCCAGAGGTGGCATTTTGCCAGTTCTCAAAATTTCCCCTACCGGTTCTTCCAGAACCTGTTGTCAGAACCTGCTGGATTTCACCCCTGCAACCCTACCAGTTGCCTCTTGGGGATGGGGGGTGGGGGGAAGCACCTTTGGGATTTTCAAAGTGGAAAGAGCCTTGGTGGCGCAGCAGACTAAAGCGCTGTTAAGTAGCACCAGCTGCCTGCAATTACTGCGAGTTCAAATCTCACCAGGCTGAAGGTTGACTCAGCCTTCCATCCCTTCGAGGTAGGTAAAATGAGGACCTAGATTGTGGGGGCAATAAGCTGACTTTGTATAAAAAAGAACACTTGGGGGGGGGGGCAAAACCCTACTAGCAGGTATACCAAGTATGAAGGCTATTGCTTAACGCATTGTAAGCCGCCCAGAGTCTCCGGAGAAGGGCGGCATATAAATCGAACCAATAAATAAACAAACCCAGTTTTGCAAACAGCTGGAAGTTCCTTCGCGGCTGTGTTTGAGAGAGAGGGTCGATTCCAGGTAGGGCATGAAAGACGTGGAGTGTGTGTGTGTGGGGGGGGTGGAAGAGTAAAAGAGAGAAAAGGGCATATAAGGAAACTGGAGGCGCTTCGCCTTTAACGGGCGGGGGTCCAAAAAACTTGCGCTCTCCGGCTCCAGCGGCGTAACAATCTGCCCACGTGACCGCTTAGGAAAGTCTTCCGAAGGAGGGAGGGGGGAGGGGAGGGGAGGGGAGGGGTGGGGGAGTCAACTTCCAAAGGCGCTTGAAGGCGCCTCGAGTCCATTTGCACACCGGAGCGGAGCGGGAGCAGAGCAGAGCCAGCCCGACCGAGGGATGTGAAGCGACGCCCATCCGCTGGGGGGGTCTCCTCAATTGCTCAGACCCAGACAGGGGAGGGGGGCTTCGTACCTTTTTTTTTTTTTTGCAACGCTCCTCCCGCCAGGCTCCCAAGCAAAAGCCCACCGACTCCTTGCAGGCACCGGTGGCTTCGCCCCTTCCCCAACCTTGGGGACTTTCTCCTCCCCGCCCGCCTCCCTTTTCTTTCTTTCTTTCTTTCTTTCTTTCTTTCTTTCTTTCTTTCTTTCTTTCTTTCTTTCTTTCTTTCTTTCTTTCTTCTTTCTTTTCTTTCTGTCTGTTCTTTCTTTCTGTTCTTTCTTTCTTTCTTTCTTTCTTTCTTTCTTTCTTTCTTTCTTTCTTTCTTTCTTTCTTTCCTTTCCTTCGGGGCGCAGCACCTCCTCCTCTCCTCCTCCTCCGATCGCCCAGGCGACCGCTCCCCTTCTTCCCAACATGCCCGAACAGCTCAGCGTCTCGGAGTTCGTGGCCGTCACTTCGGAGGATCTCAGCTCGCCGCTGGCGTCCGGCTTCGCCGCCAAGATGCACAAGTGCCGGGGCGCGGTGGGGGCGCTGGAAGAGGTGAGTCCTGGGGTGGGGGAGACAGACAGACGCGAGAGAAGTGGGGGGTGGGGGAGAAGAGAGGCTGCTCGCTCCCCCAGAAGAAGCTCCGGCCGGTCGAGGCAGGAGAGAAAGTTCACTTTCTCTAAAGTTCACTTTCTCTGGTTTGCAAAAAAAAAAAAAAAAAAAAAATTCAAACAACTTTCAATTTTGCGCCGGGAAGGGGGACGCGGCGCTCTGCTGGCGATGGATGGGGCGCACCTGACCCGCTGCGGTGTTTTATGCCCCAGCCTGTTTACCCGGAAGGAAGCCACCTTCCCTTTGTTTTCAGCGGGGCAGGTATTTGCAGGTGAGCAGTTCTGGGGCCGCCTTGCGCTAATTCGGCGTTTTAGCACACTTGCCACTTAACTGGAAAATTATTATTATTATTATTATTTACTTTATTCATTAAACATGAAACTCAGTCAACTGAACATGCAAAATTATTATTATTTTTATTATTATTATTATTATTATTATTATTATTATTATTATTATTATTATTATTATTATTATTTATTTTTAATTTGATTTATATGCCGCCCTTCTCCAGAGACTCAGGGCGGCTTACAATGCGTTAAGCAATAGCCTTCATACTTTTGTATATTTATACAAAGTCAGCTTATTGCCCCCACAAACTGGGTCCTCGTTTCACCTACCTTAGAAAGGATGGAAGGCTGAGTCAACCTTGAGCTTGGAGAGATTCGAACACAGTAAATTGCAGGCAGCTGTGTTAATCACAATGCTATCAGTCTGCTGAACCACCATATAATATAAGCAGTACTTGGAACATCGTACATCTTAAGAAGGTACTTGGTTGGTACCTAGGACGCTGGCAGCAACCCGTATCAACCATTAGCACCAGTCAGTGGTTATTTGTGATGCATTTTTGAATGTTTAGTTGACTTGAATTTCATGTTTAATGAATAAAGTAAATAATAATGATGATGATAATAATAATAATAATAATAATAAAAAGTATACTTGGGGGAAGAGACTAACCGCTCGCCTTCTCGAGCTATAAATGATCTAAGCCACAACTTAAGCCTAGTGGGTTGACTGAGCCCCCATTCTGTTTAGCTGGTTTATGTGCCCGCTTTAGTGCTGTCGTGCAAACCTGGAACATTGGCTTAATTCCAGAATGTTGGTTAAGTTCACCGTGGGGCAGCTTTCTCTAGGGAGGGAAAGAGGGAGGAATCCCACCAAGTTAAAGAGGAGCGAAGTTCTTACCAACCATGTTCCATGGCCTTTGATATACTTTTTTAGCTGCCTTAAACCTCTTTCCCCCCCCCCAACAACTTTTCAATGTCTTTCATCCCAAGTCCATCTCTAAAGGAAAAAGCTTCAGACCTGGAAGGCAGAAATCCTGCTTTGCATGGGGTGTAATAGAAACCCCCCCCCCCACAGCACCTGTCCCAGCTGCAAGTCATCACAACTGAGTTAAGGGAGGTTGGATTCCCCTTTCTGAGGACAAATAACTGAGAAGATTGTAACAGTAACAGAGTTAGAAGGACCTTGGAGCAGGGGTGAAATCCAGCAGGTTCTGACAGGTTCTGGAGAACCGGTAGCGGAAATTTTGAGTAGTTCAGAGAACTGGCAAATTGCCACCTCTGACTGGCCCCAGAGTGGGGTGGGGATGGAGATTTTGCAGTATTCTTCCCCTGCCACGCCCACCAAGCCCGTAGTAAAACAATTTGGATTTTACCACTGCCTTGGAGGCCATCTAGTCCAACCCCCTGCTCACGCAGGAGACCTGTACTAGGGATTCAAACCACCAACCTTTCTGATCGACAAGCTCAGTGGCTTAGCCACTTGAGCCACCTAGTCAGGCAAGATGAAGCTGAAATGTAGGGGAGAAAGCTCCACGCTAGGGGCGTCCAACATTGGCAACTTTTAAGGCTTGTAGAATTCAACTCCCAGAATTCCCCACCAGGTTTAAAGTTGCCAAGGTTGGACAACTCCACTCTATGTACTTTTTTTTTTTTTTTAAATCTATGAAGCATATTAAAGCAGTTTTTCTTCCTCTAATATCCCCTTCTAAGCTCATTAGATTTTAAGCTCCACAGCTCCCAAGTTACTTTGCTGGGAAAGACTTGGCTAAAAAAATAAATCTGGTTGCTGTCATTGCAACGTATTTTGACTCGAGGCCCTCTTTAACGCTCAGCTTTATAGAAATTGGATGTCAGGAAACCCAGATTTGCCTGTGGCCCAGTGGTGGGATTCAGCCGGTTCGCACCACTTCGGGAGAACCGGTTGTTAACTTTCTGAGCAGTTTGGTGAACTGGTTGTTGGAAGAAATCATTAGGGCAGAGAACCGGTTGTTAAATTACTTGAGTCCCACCATTGCTGGGGCCAAACTAGGAAACCTGGGAAAGGTGTGTGGGCAGTTCATCTGTCTTAACAATTTTAATATTTTAATATTTTTACTCCTCAAAGTTTAAATTTGTTTTAAATTGATTGGGGTTTTAATCTGTCTGGGCCAAACTATTTAATTCGATTTTATTTCTGTTTTTAAATTTTGTATGTATGTATTTTATCGTTGGCTGTTCACCGCCCTGAGTCCTTCGGGAGTAGGGCGGTATACAAATCAAATAAAAGTAAAGTAAAATAAAAGTCTTGCAGGATTTACACCTCACACTGCAAACTAGTTTGTTTTATGTTGTAGACCAGGCCGTGGGCTTTTAAAATGGTTTGTAGCCTGTTAGGTCTTACTTAGTTACCTGTAGCTAAATACTTGTTTCAGGTAAGGTGGTAATCTAGTCACAAGTTCTTTATATGGGGATAGCGCATTGTCGTAGAATTTAGCTTTTTCCAAATTTTTCCAATTCTCCTTTGTGAAAGTGAAATAAGTCTGAGGGGATGAGTGCAAAAGACCCACAAATGGAGAGTCAGGCTTGGGTCACCCACTGCGTTTATTTTATTTTGTTTGTTTTTACAAATAACTCAAAGTGGGAAACGAATCCAACACACCTTCCTCCTCTTACTTTTCCCCACAACAACAGCCCTGTGAGATGGGTTGGGCTGAGGGAGAATGACTGACCCAAAGTCACCCAGCTGGCTTTCATGGCTAAGGTGGGACTTGAACTCGGTCTCCTGCTTTCTAGTCTGGTACCTTAACCCAGTGGTGGGATTCAAATCATTTAACAACCGGTTCTCTGCCCAATGACCGGCTGGGTGGGTGTGGCCATGGTGGGCGTGGCCAGGGGTGTGTGACAGGCAGCACTTAGCCTCCTGTACCACCCTGGGAGCAAAAACAGACCGTGGGTGGGGGAACGTGCCGCCCCCCCCATGTCCCATTTTGGGCCGAGTAGGCCTCCGTGCAGCCACCTGGGAGCAAAAACGGGGTGCGAGGGGGACTCCTGGAAGGGGCGAGGAGGGGAGGGGCAGGACCAGCCAGCAATTTAACTAACGGTTCGCTTGAACTGGCCCGAACCGGCTGAATTCCATCACTGCCTTAACCACTAGACCAGGGGTCCGCAACTTTAAGCACTCAAAGAGCCATTTGGATCCATTTCCCACAGAAAAGAAAACACCGGGAGCCACAAAACCTGGGTGGGCGTGGCCAATTCAATGTCATTTACTTCCACCAGTCACATGACCCCCCTAGCCATGCCTACCCAGCCAGTCATTAGGGCAGAGAACCAGTTGTTAAAAAACACTGGGAACCACAAAACCCTTTTGACATATCTCTCCCCTCCCTCCCTCGTGGATCAAATCCACTGCAGACACCACCAGTATCTATTCCATTTGCTATTCCAAATGGAAATATTATTTGCCCCCTTCCTTTCTCTGTTCCCAATTCCCTGAGGTCACCTGAACTCCCTCCAAGGTAATGGGTGACAGGCTTAAGTGATTTTATGCACGTTTGAAGGTACCATTGGGTGATGATAGAATTGAGGGCAAAGTACAGTTGTAACACTAGGTTCATTAAATATATTAAATTCGTTTGCTGCCCATCTCGCCGGAAGGTGACTCTTAAGCTTAAGGGAGTTTCACGAATGGCTTGGAGCAGAGGTGGCATTCAGCCGGTTTGTACCAGTTCGGGCGAATTGGTAGCAGAGATCGCAGGTGGGCCCGCCCCCGCCCACTTCCCCGGGCTCTATGCCGTCCTATTTAGGCACATTTTCGAGGCACATGCAGGGAAGATGCGCGAGCACATGCGTGGAAGGCTGGGCACATGTGCAGAAGGGGCACGCATGCGCAAAGCAAGCGTGCACGCACGGGGTGAACCGGTGGTAAGAATATTGGAAATCCACCGCTAGCTTGGAGGTGAGAAAAGGGTCATATCCCAGGGACAAGGGAGAAAGTAAGGCTCACCAGGGCATAATTATGTATGGTAGGTTGGTGGAAGAAGTGATGTCATAATCAGGCAGATTCCAATGAATCAAATTTGACTCCTGGTAGCAACACGGATGAGAAATCAATTGCCACTTGAGTTACTTCCAGCTGCAGCTTGTACTTTGTTAAGGGCGGTCCTGTAATTGATTTGATCCAGTCTGTTCTCCTTACCTCTCATCTTTCCCTTCTTCTATTTCCAACAAGTTAGCAATTGTAGGTTTTCTTTGTCTGCGTAGCACATAACAGCATTGAGGAAGCTTCTTAGACCCAATGGTGGAGATGGTTTATTTGTTTCCTTACTATAAAGTTCATATTATTTCTTCCTTCAATTCTCTTGCAGCTTATAGGATGCTGAATTCCCATTTCTTGGACATTTTTCTCTCTCTGCAAAAGAGGGCTCTTTATCATTTTCTCCAGCTGGTTGAGAATTTCTATCATATTTCTTTTGTTGGCATTTTTGAATTTAGTAGCTGGTTGGACTGGTGATGGTATTGTCCCAGGTAGTCCTTGACTTACAATCACAATTGAACCCAAAATTTCTGTTGCTAAGCGAGATATTTGTTAAGTGAGTTTCGTCCCATTTTATGACCTTTCATGCCAGGAAGGTTGTTAAGCGAATCACTGCAGTTGTTAAGTTAGTAACA